CACACACACACACATACGAGCACTCAGAAAACCTGTTTGACAAAGCTACACACACTCTCACTGGCATATTTCATGCGAAAAGGAAATTTTTCTTATTTGAAAAATGCTTGAAAGACGTTGCCGAAATTTATTTTAAACGTTATGTGCATGTGTGTGTGTGAGCATGTATGCAAATACACGTGTTGCAGATTTTTACATTTTTTCTTACTTTTGAACGGATGCACAAACAAATTGCTCTTAAGACATTCAAATGAATGTCACAAACATACAAGAGCAACAGCAAAATTTATAGGAATTTTCATTTTAATCTTTTTTCTCCACTTTAGAGATGTCTTTTGAATATATTGCCAGGGCAAACGCTTTCCCCTTTACAGTGCAAAGATTTGAGATTTCTTGGAAACTGTTTCCAGGATACACAAATTTAAATGTATTATTGTTGTATATATGTAAATACATATGTATGTATTGTAATTGCACAGACGTACGTACCTTGCAACAATTATTGCACCATATAGTCGATTGGGTCATGTTGGTGCAGCAGGCTGGTTTGTACCATGTCTTTGTCCTTGACATGGGTTACAGCAAGATGGATTGGATTATACTTAATTTATACGTTTATGTATATGTTGCGCTTCCTAGAAGCGCTTGTGCACTATGAATACTTGAGTTACAGTCCTTGACGGGTCTCTAAGGCCGTTACTACTGTAATCGAGAAGATAGCGCTCATTAGGTGTGGGATTTGTTGCAGAAGAGACTCTGTATCTTATTTGCGCCAACACCCTGATGATATAGAAGAACAATGTAGCGCAGAACGTTTTTAGTTGGATTTCTTCCTTATCGCTGCCAAGATATCTTCGATGACGTCGAACATTTGGAATCACAATAGAACACCACGTAGGTTTATACCAGACTGGAACTCTTGCTCTCTGATAACACTGGTCAGCAGGTGAAGGCTAAGGTGATGACAACAAAACTCATTTGCCGATAGAAAAAGTGCATCATGAGCTGCCTAACGGTAAAAGTTATTGAAACTTCTATTCGACAGCGAGGCAACATGCAGAGGGTTTCAAAACTAGAATTTTTGCCTGCAGCAACGAGAAAGATAAACTGGTAACTGAGAGTCTATATATAGGAGATACCACACTGTGTACCAATTATGAAATACCGCCAACGAACCGATCATTCTTTTTCAGTAGGGCCTTAGACTTGAAAATACACTGTTCTGAGCCACCAATCCTTGAAAAAGCCTCTGAGAAATACAACGACAGTAATAACCCTTTATATATATGTTACCATTTCTAGCCTACGATATCAAGAACAGAAGCTGCCTCTATACCTAGCGCAACGAGTGGAAATTTACGGATACATAAGAAGAGGAAGCCTAGGCTTTACTTTGTGTCTACAATTTAGACCAATAAGAAAATCAAGAAATATATGTTGGCATATATATACATATAACTTTCGAAACAGAGTCCAGATGCGCATGATCATATAAGTTTTGCTGGGTATATCTCTGCTCCTTCTGGTAACAGCGTAAGAAGTGTATTGATCCCATACACGGATTCAGTCGGGGTATACGATCCTGCTGATAGGTATACCTGCTGCTTTTGGAACACTTTCGCATCTACTCATCTGAGTACATTTCTCATGCATGCATGAAGGAGTACTTCTACTTACATACATACATATTTACTCAAATTCAGAAGACAGTCTTATTGTGGCCTGCGCCCCTTTGGAAGTATTTTCACTTAAATACAATTGAAACTTTGTTAGCGATTGTACTGTGTTGTATAAAGTCAGCAGCCGTGGGTTATTTTGTCAAACTTTTCTCAGTATAATGGCGTACTTCCTCTGAAATATTTGTGCAATAAATAGCCAAAGAAAGAAGCAGCATGAAAGTTTTCAAGTGTTGTGGTCGCACTAAAATGATAACATCACAAACATTTTAATTTACAATTACTTTGCACACATTTTTGCTCTTCGATAATAACTTGCACACACACTTATCTATTTATATTTCAGAAAATTAGCTTGGATTGCAATGCTTTCGGGAAGGAGGAGAGTGGACGGTGTTTTCTCATTGTGACTTCATAAAGTCTGCCTAACGGCGTAAGTTTTGAGTTTGATACAAAATATCTTTGAGTTGAAAAATATTCAAAAATCTGATGTGAAATTTTGATATTGATTTGATATTTTGAAAATAAAAAATTTATTTCACTGATTTATTTTTATACAAATAAATATGTATATCATAACGATTGCCCCTATTTGGCATTCCATGACAATTAAGATTTTTTGTGATGATGTCAAGGCGAATTAAGCAAAGTGGAGTTACAGAGCGGCAAATTCAACTTCTTTCATTCACTTCAGTCAAAAGGTAGTCAAAATGTTTGTTTATATTTTGCGTTTAATTTGAGTTTTAAAAGTGAAAATTTTCAAATTTCGTTTTTATTGTTTTTCAAATAAAAAATATTGACCGGTATTGAGTTGAGTTGATACGGCTATTAATAAACACATTTAGGGCAACAGGCCCGTTGTAATACCGCTAAGAGGCTCTTACCTTCACCTTCTCAATAGTCGAACCATTTTCTTGCTCAGCTCAGCGAGACAGTGAAATGTGGTAGCGTTCAATGGATTATTTCTATGCGGCCACAATCATTGGAGTAATATCCCGCTGGGCCGTGAAGCCCCATCGAACCCATCATTATGCTAATGAATAACTGGCCTAGAAAGATTATATGATATGTTAGGATTTTTTTCGTTTGCTTGTGATCTTATTCAACCACATAGTGTTTGCATTTTCGGCAAAGGTCAAACTTTGAATTTACTTTGCCGTAGCAATGGTACACCTTCATCCTGTTTATGGTATGGTTGAAATGTTCCTGAGTCTGGGTAGCTAGTTCACGGCAGCATTGCATATAGCCGAAAGTTTGTTCAGATTGCTTCTTTCTAAAGACACTTTTGATGTGGAACTGTTACCCTGCAGAGATCTGATGACTGTTTGATTACGGAATATTTGAACCGATAGTCTCAGTTGAGAAGATACGTGGCGGCTTCCATAATTACAAAGAGTTCTGCTTGCAAGACGCTGGAATGCCAATCTTATTATTGAGAGCCCGCTTTTTCATCGAGCTTTGAGCCGTCTGTTAAGATGGGTTGGCTCCTTCATCGACGGCATTTGTTTTTTCCCATTTGTACCTGTTTGGGCTTCTTGTTTGAAGAGATCGTCTAAGCAATCCATTATGATCTGTGTGGGTGAGTTAAGTTGAAGTGGCGGTAGACCAGAAAGCTGTAGATCTAATCCTCATGAGCGCCGATTCAGTTGAAGATGTCAGCACTGGACAGCCATGCTGATATTTTGGCTTCAGATGCACTTACATACGTCGCTCTAAATGATTGAAAAGAACGTCCGACTGTCATTTCTATTGCGTAAAATTATTATCAATCAGGCCAATCCGTAGCAGGTTCACTAGTAACTTCAACGCTGATGATCTTGCGACATTGCGAATCTTGTATAGATTTCACCAGGTGTGAGTGACTGAAAAAATCTTCCCGAACTCTTCGTCGGCACAAAGCGTATAGTAAGCTATATTATAACCCTCTGATCTTCAAGAGCTAGAAAACGTGGCACCAAAAAAGACAAATGAAAGCGGGACCGTACTAATCTAACGCAACTAATATATCTAAGTTTTATAGTTTTGTGTCGCAATAGTCACTTGTCTCCTTTTCCTTCACTGATATATGTACCCTCATAACCAAGTAACAACAACGCATCAGTCGTTCCTCTTTTCGTCATTTGGCCCCATTTGGGGACATTAAATGAAGCCAGACCCTTCCGCAGCTGATCCAACGGCGTCGAGTATTCCACTCCCTTTGCTTTCACACACCTAGCTTGTTCTAAACTCTGTCAAAATCTCGTTCAGTTTCTTATTCCATGGCTTGCGGTATTCGCTGATACAAATGCGCAAAATACCATAAATCGTACACAAAATCTGCCTCCCGAAAATTCCAAACCGACCCACCGTTACAGTCAAGGATCGCTTTTTCGCTCGTTGCTGAGTTTTGTGTTTTTCGTCGAGAGAGTTTACTTTTTAGTCCAAAGCAGCGTAAAAAAATCGAGATAAATATAAATTTACTGATTTTATGAATGCCCGTAAGCTACTTTCCAAATCTTCCAGGAATGCGAAATGGTCTTCCAGGAGTTCGGAAGGTATTTGAAGTATGTGGGTGGTGGACGTTGTTCTTTTCAAATGTATGAACCACGTTTAGTGGATGCCACGGGAAATGTTAACCTCGATTTGAGTCTCGGCTTAGCTGAAGCCCTGTAGCAGCTAGGTTATGCTCGGCAGAATGAATTGACGATTGAAGTCTAATAAAATGAAAAGGATGATAAATACATATATATAGATTGGACACTGATAAATGAATGTGCTTAAATGGTTAAGACTTGGGAACAGACTTGCGCAGAATAAAGGACAGACTGCCCTGCATGAGAAACGATACACAACGGTAAAGAAACAAGCACTGTTAAATGATGTTTCAAATGTGAACGAAACGAAACGAAACGTTGGCGTTAGGAGTTGTCTTTTCCCGATTCAGTCTAAAATCTCTTGCAGCGCGGTGAGCACTTAGAAGACGGCTACGCCATCAACTGCCAGACGCGTGTCACCCAAGTATTCAGTTATGAAAGAGGAACAGTTATCTAGTGAGTAGTGCATAAAAGTACAGCGTTGAACAAAATTCAAACGTGATATGTGTATATGTGTATGTACATGAAGGCACTTCGAACGCCCCCGCATGTGCGTGAAATACGGTTAGCGCACCTTGATTGTTTGTCCAAGCGAACAGCTGGTGCCAGTAAATTCGCGTTTAACTGCTTTTATTGCTCCAAAGTTGTTTCGAATACAACAAACATATTGTGGCGTGAAGTGAATCCTGGAAAATGAAATTTGTTCAAAAATTTAATTAATTCAAATTAGTTTCATGAATAAATAAAATAAAAAAATAAGATTAAGAAAGAATTTGTTTTGAAACTGCTTTGAAAGATCTCGCAACGTGGCTTAATGGCATGCCATGGATATATTTGAATAGCTTTTATAAGTGTAAGTGTATGTGTACTTCCAACCAGTGTCAGAGCTATTTCTTATTAAAACAAAAATACCAAAAAGTTGCTCAAAATTATTCAATTAAAAGTAGTGAGAGTTTTGAGAAAACCTTACGCGGTTTTTCAAAGTGCAAATCCTAAGCCTACCAGTCTTTATTGGGATATTTACTCAAGTAAATCAGAGAATCGGCGCCCTTGAATTTGAATCCAGCAACTACAGTACAATGAAAATGCAATTTCAACGCAAAAGTGTCAGTGAAATATTGTATCTGTCCCATAGCTAATATATTAATGAGCGATATTTATCTAAAATTGGTGAGCCAAACGAAAAAAAAAGAAAAGCCACAAAGCAGAACAAAGGGAAATCACAAATTCGTTCAGCCAATGTGTCCCTAAAGAGGGAAGGATGCAGCGATTGTGTTGAAGACGTTAATAAGTATGTCAATCATGACCGCAACAATACCGAAATGCTTGCGTCACAACAACAATAAAAACTTGATAAATGCCTATGGCAATATTAACTACAACACTGGGCCTATTTGCGCCAACAGTAGCCAAGTGAGTGCCAAAAGCAACAAAAATTGCCGCAACGGCGCCGCGGGCAAGTTCCACATCAACAGGAGTAACAGCCTTTTGACTGATAAAAGAAGCGTTGCGAGCTCGAATGGACTACTCCTTCTGGCGTACCTTTTGTCCGCCGCTGTCGTCCTCGAAGCAGGTGAGTAATTGTGTTGTTGTTGTTGTTGTTGCTTCTTTTCTAGCGGTGTTCTTATGGAATTGTTATGCAGTCTTGAAAATCTTACATTTGACTTAGCTATTCTGTAGAGTTGCAGTTATATAAGTGACTGAGCTTCACTTGGGTTGGGAGTCTTCTAAATTTGCATTATCTGTGTATTAAACACTAAAAGGTAGAAATTCATTATTTTACTTATAAAGTATTCTTTACTACAACATCAGCGTAGCGGTTGGCTGTACGTAATACCATACGGAAAGTCATGGTTTCTGGTCCTAGTCAGATTAGAATTTTATGATTCAAACGTGGCCTCGTGGTTAGTGTTCTAAGAGGAGGTTATGGGGCACATCATCGTCCAAGTACTAAAGCAATTCGCCCAAATGTCAAAGAATTTCGAAGAGACTGGATCAGTTGCATATTGTAAGACCTATGCATCATCGTTATGTACGTTCCACCTCAAATACCGCTACTTCAGGTGAAACTGTAGACGAAGTTCTGAGTCTATTTTTCGATGTGCCCAGGAGCTCTGACTTCCTTGCCTCTCATTGAGGCGTATTTTACACTTGACCACCACACCTACATCAATACAAAGTCCAGTTCACACAACAACTGAAGCGAATTGACCATTCAAAAGCAGAGCTGGCGAACACCGCGATCGTACGATTTATTTTTATTTTTATTATTTTTTTTTATTTTTTTTGTGTGGCTATGCGAAAGGTCGTGCTTATGTGGATAAAACTTTGACTCTTGAGCCTTTGAAAACCCGTGTTCGTCAAGCTATGCTGGGAACTTGATGAATTTGTGACAAAAAGTGCTAATTCCAGGATTCAAACTTAATAATAAAAAAGGAATTTCTTTAAAAAAGCTTTTTTCTAGACGAGCAAACTTTGTTTAATTAAGCACAGGTTTTTATTCAAATTTCTGATGTTCCCCAAATAACCAATATTCGATTAAATAATACTGAAAAATCTTGCAAACCTCTATTGAAAGGCAAAGCCAATTTGTATCACTCAAAAAAGCTTCACTTACTGATTTTATTCTGCTCTCTCTGGTATTTATTTTTACATACTGACATACTGCCAGCGTAGTGCATACGCGTATAACTCAAATAACTGTTTTTTACATCGCTCGCTATCTGCAGGCAAAAACGACGACGGAGTTTTCAGGCCAATATTTTTATTTTTTTTTTTTCTGTCATAGACAACGTACTGTTTGGAATGATTTTACATCTGCAATTTTAATTAAATAAAATAATTGTTTAATAAGAAACGGCTTGAAATACCTGGAATATTGAAAGAACAAAAAACAGAGTGAAAGAATATTTATATTTGGCGATTTGTAATCGCTGAAGCGATACCAGCCGAGTGCTCCTCCTCCAATTTGTGTTTTTGCGTTTTGAGTTTTTCCAACAAATGGAGAGACCTATAGTCTAGACTAAGCCGCCTCCGAACGGCTGATGGTTTTTAATGAGGAGACTTTTATTTCATGCCAAAAATACATCCAAAAGGGTTGACATCTCCTGCCGAGGGGCGGACGCAATTGGAAAATTCAGTTAATTTTGCATTTAAATCAATTTTCTTTTACTTTTGGATGTTGGTTGCACCGGGATATGAACGTGGGCTTTCCGTGTGGCAGTACGCAGTGCTAACCACTCAGCTACCGCTGCCGCGAAATAGGAATTACCATTAACAAAAGAACAGAAATGGGCACCATTCGAGGGCATAAATTCTAAAGCGGCAAGCTCTGGGCAGTTCCACCGACAAAAGTGATCAGAGTTTGGTCGGATTTAAACTTCATAAATATGCCAATAATATACAAACTTATATACATTTTATTATATTCAAAGCATTCTGTAACGATGAAGTCACTTCATTCAGTTAAGTTTGCTCATCCATCCGGATGCTCATACAGTCACATGCCCAAAGTGAAGTGAATAAGGGACTCTCGTCCCATAAGTTTTACCTCTCAAGGAACCAGCGTGCTTATTCTCCCGCCAATTACTTTGACACAACACTTCCCGATGTAGTTGGATGTTGGCGAAAGTCATTGTTTTGAAGAAATGCACATTTGCCGTTACCATCGAAAAAGCTGGACGACTGCCTTCGGTGTGCATAGACTACCTCCCCTCAATACTTAACATTCTTCAGGACAAAATAAGAGTGCCCTCAGATGGCACCTGTGCTGCATGCGACTCTGCTTTTCAAGAAAAACCCATTTAATAAAATTTGAATTTTTCCTGAGAAAAACACCCTCAAACTCTGAGAGGTCTACTTCTAAGTTCGATGTACATAAGATGGGCATGGAAGCAGGTCTCTTTTAGACCGGCTCTTCATCAGTATTGCACCTGTTTCTTTTTCACATTGCTTAATCGGCCTGCATAGTCGAAGAGGAATAGAAGTATATAAAAAAAAATTTCTTTAGAAAAAAGTCGGCATTTTTTTCCTTCTCAGTAATTTTTTGTGCTGAACTCTAAACTCTAAAAAATATAAACTTCATTTTCCATTTTATGATTCACCCCACCGAACCATTCCAGTTACAATTAAAAAATCATAATATTTATATTTCAGTTCAAAATTACTGGGTTAAACGCAGAAGACTTTCACTAAGAGCAGGTCTACCACCTACTCGAACGCTTTAACCTGGAACGCTAGTCAAAAGAGAGCAACACAATAAACGTGGCAGGTGTTGAGTCGGGTGTGAAAATACTTTCAGCATACACATACACACAGATATGCGCACACGTACGAGTATACGAGAGCAATAGTTGTTGGCATTTCATTTTCCAACTGAGTTTCTGTATGTAATTCCCTTCTAGTTCTTTGCCGCATCCTAGATTTCACAAAAAAGTAGGCCTTCAGTCGTGACGCTAATTCAACATCGCTTTGTTGACATGTTCAGCGAGTGCTGACGGAATTCTACATTTTGTTTTTACCACCAAAAATTAATAGGCCAATTTGCATAACATTCTGGCGGTAGTAACTTACTACTATTTACAAACATATGTATATATATTTATATATACTTCTACGTAGAAAAATAAATAGCACAGCATTTGCACACGGATTGAGATGCACAGCAGCCAAGGTGGGATGGAGCATGCTGTGATGTCATCAGCAACCGCCATTGTGTCTGAAGTTGTGTAAATAATGGTGCGAACACATGGCGTTGCGCTGTGTTTACATGCAAAAACACTTTTCATTTTGCTTTTGACACATTTTAAATATTTAAATGGTAAAGAGCGTTGGTTAACGAAAAAATTTGAAAAAAAAAATCTTCTTCTTGTTTTTGCGAAATATTTCCAACAGTTAAATTCAGCAGGCAACCTTCACTTACACAGCAACATAATGCCAATTTACACAACCGAATTGTATGTTGCCTACGTCTTACCATGAACCCTCTAAAACCAATTTACGAAATGTCCTTGCTAATGCACTGTTTGCCCCGTGAAATCCGACCACACCAACAACAAACCAGTTTTACAATGATTCATGAGCTCATGGCTGGCAGTTGTTTCCCAGGTGTCATTCGCACGTGAACAGCCGCGTCTAAACACTCATTATAGACTAAACTACGTGCACCGCACACAAATTGGCGCACAAACACACTCACACACACACACACGCACGCACACACACACACACGCACATACACAAGCTAAAAGATGCTCTATGCTGGCTATGAAAGCGCTTTGTTTTTGTTCTCGCATTGCACCCGCTCCCTGCTCAGTTTCATTTACATATTTTCATATATTACGTATACGCCATGTGGTGTGAAATCCTCGCCAGCTAATTTCTTACACAAGGGAACGAGTAAATGTATTCAAAACTAGCAAATTGAAAAAATAAAGGCGCTAAAATTGCTGACTCTTGACAAATGGAAGAATCTTCATGGTATTTAATTTACCCATTTAAGTCAATGCGAGTTACCGTAGATGCCAATAATTGAATAAGAATTATAATTCCATGGCTGACATAACATCAATTACTTAACTTCCAACGGTTCCCAGCACCTGTTAAGATGTGAAATCATGTAAATATCCAAAAATATTTTCCCAAGTCAAAACTGTTTTATACTTTTTGATAAAATATTTTTGGACAGAGTATCATTTCCACGCCGCCGCAGATGCCTCCAATAGATTCCAGCCAAGGCCAAAGAGGTTTCAGTTTTGTTAAAAAATGTAATTAAATTAAAATAATAATTACTTGGTTAACAAAAGATCATTTACTTAAAATCAAAATATCTTTATTTATTTATTTTTTTTTTTTTTTTTGTGATAATGGGAAATCATATAAGTAAAGTAGAATATTTTCTCAAGTGCAAACTGTTGCAAAATTTTTTATATAAAAATTCCAAAGAAATTTCCATAAAATTCTCAAAAGGTTCCTATCTGAAAGCAATACATTACCGGAGAAAAATATCTTTGTGCACGTAAGAGCGTTTAAATGAAAATGTTGTGAGCTTGTTTCTGGCGAGGAAATTAATCGGTTGCAGTCAAAGCAGGCAAAAAACTTTCAAGTGTCCAAGGAAAGACATAAAAGTAAAACGCTTTGAATTCGCCCATTCAATTCTGTTATTTGAGAATTCTTTCAATGAGCAACTGAATACCGTTTTGTCGTTTTTCCTTTTAGTCGTGCCTTTCTACCGACTGGTGAACTGAAAAACTTTCTTTTGCCTTGGACAAAGCTTCAGCGCATCTAAGACTAAAATTAAATTTGCATTCCTTCAGCGTTTAAAAGCACTTAATTGTGCTTTGATCGGGCGCTTTATTTGATTTTAATAATTCTTTGAGAAAATTGATATTATTTGAAAACTTTTTCAAAACATCAACCACTCACGAGGATATAAAAATCAACAGTAAATAAAAAGCGATTCAACTGAAAAGCCCGAAGTTGGATTTATGCCAAGTAAGTTACTGACGGCCGAGCTAGCCGAGTGGTTAGCCGATAGCCCTGGTAGCTTGTGCAAAGAAAATTGTTTTGTAATTT